ACTCATGGGATTTTTCTACATATAACAATACAATTTTTAAACAGTACTTTCTTCTTTGCTGCAGAGGTGTGCCCTACCTCGGATTAAATCACAGCTTCCAATATCACAAAGGTAACCTGCCAGAAGCCCATGTCTTTAAAGCATTTGATACAAAAATACAGCCCATGCAGTTTTCACAACATAACAGATGCAACATTTACTACATAATTAGCACTTCAAGCTCAAAGACATACTGAAGCAAAAAGAACCATTTTAAGGCTACAATAGAACCTAAGTCTGAAATTTTGTTATGAAAAATGCAATCAGACAAAATAATGGGTTGGCACAATGGCACTCTCCTCCTGCTACGGGTGGCCACACTACCTGCTGCTCCTGCTGCTCCAGCCTCAGTGTTCCAACACCTCAATGAAGCCATTAGACCTCCTAATCCCACAGAAAGCTCACACACTCGACAGTAACTCATACCGAACAGAAGCTGAATCAACTCAGTGGAAGACACAAAAGACAAGATGCAGAGCAGGAGTGCATAGAGAACTGCACAGCTGGGAATGAAGAAGGGGAATACCTGGAAGTAGAGAGGGACAGCCTTTTCAACAGCCTGGAACACAGCTGCAATGGCTGGTGTTCCACAAATGGTTGAGTGCAACTCTTAAAGGACACCACACTTGTTCTCAGCAACCTCCACAGGCAAACTGCCACCCAAACAGCACCTTTAACTATTCTGCTGCTGGAATCTGTTCCATCTACATTCTGTTATTGTACATGGTTTACTGAAAAAAGAGCATAGCACCCCACAAATTACCTAGTGAATAATTCCAGAGACTGTAAGAAAGTGTGACAAGCCACACACTTCAAACTGAAATCTAGGCTCTGCTTGTCATAAAATATCTCTGTATTTTTGGACTACTGAAAAGGACACCATCCACCACTGTTACAGTCCACATCCTGTCTCAATTAAAAAAAAAAAAAAAATTAAAACATGGTTGATGAAGAGTATAAATTACCACCCAGGTAAATCTACGGGAAAAATTATTTCTAGGAAAATGACATTAAATTACTAATAGGTCTCAGTTAAGTAAAACAGTTACTAAAAAGTCTTGGTATGCTAAAAGCATAACTGGCTAGTAAGCTTACAGAGAAGACCATAAAGCCTGAGAACACACTGTTGTAATTATATTAGTGATGTTCTACACAAAGTCAGATTAAGTAATAAACCTACTTCAATATGCAAATCTTACTCGTGTGTCTGTCATGGACTTCTGTGACCTGCAGTTATCTGAGTAAACATTTTTGCAAAGACAGTTCTGACTGATCAATGTCTCCCCCCATTCCTAACTCCACTGCACAAGGCAGGACACCAGACACACAAACAGCGAGAAAATTTTACAGCTTTCCATACCTACAGTATACTTATTTTGTATAAAATACCTCTTTTTGAACAGCCAAGAGTGGATTTTATCTATTAAAAAGCTTTTCTAGACATTCTCAAAAACATGAGATAAAGGAATAAACAAGAGAGGGAAGAGTGGATGTTAAAAATGCTGTGAAAAATGCTCTCTGTCACAAATGAAGGAACATGAAGTTCAATAAACATTCTAGAAGAAAACACTGGTAAATACATTTATAATACTCTCAAAGTGTTGCATATTTAATATTTATAAATATTCTCTACACCTTGTTTTAGAAAGAATCCTCCTACTTATTAATTTAAGGTAATGAATATACCACCCATAAAACATTAGAACTAAATTTAACAGGTGAGCTAAATCTAACTAAAATAAATTAATCCATACTTTCTTAACCTAGCTCAGTACTTTACTACTTACTAAGAGTTTCAAAACTTCTTCTGAAAGTACTGCTTTCAGAAAGCTCCCTAAGTTACCACAAACCAAACATATTCTGCAGCATGGACTGGTGTGCAATGTCTCCTCTTCTACACCTGCCCTTTGCCAAAGAGGAGACATTAAATTATAAGTGGCTTACCTAAGATCACAGGGAGGGTTAGACATCCCAGCCACTGCCTTTATCTGTGATCATCAGCCTAGTGTTTAACTACTTTCTTACTAGTCTGCTTTTATTCATGCAACTGTTTAGCTTAAACACACACATTTTTCTTCACCCAGCTACTTCAGCATTGGCTCACAAACCACTAGAACATTAGTGACAGTGTCTAAGATGCTACTCAGAAATACTCTTAGAAAAACAAGCTCAGCAGGCTTGATTTCACTGCATTGGTTTTGCAGCAGCATTGAGGAAGCATTAATGTGCCTACATAGCAAAAAAAAAAAAAAAGAACCAAATTAAGGATTGTCAGAAAGTATACAACAATTACATCAAAGTTACTTTTTTACCTTTTAATAGATATAGGAAACCAATTACATGGAAGTCTCAAAACACCTTTGAAAGAGTGTTAAAGGCCCAAAAGCAAAGCAAAAAACATGTTTTAATTCTTTTGCCTACTCTTCCAGGGTACATTAGTTGGAAACATACAATTTTCACTGTTAAACAACTCCCAGGTATCATCTTCATTTTAAGATCATCTAAACAGCCCACCGCTGAAAAGCACTGTCCCAGTCTTCCTCTAAGTACTGTCAGGCATTTTGCTCTTACAGCCTCAGGTGAGGTATGAAAGATTGACTGAGAACTCCTGCCATTAATTTGCAGCTGAATCGATGAGCTTAAACTTCGAAGAAACAGCATGTCAAACTCCTTTACAACTTTGTGATTCCTGTGGTTTATGTATGCCTCTAATCACATTATTACTTTTATGTATGCCACTCCAAAAAAATCAGTTAAAAGTAAAAAGAAAAACGTAAGGAACAAGAAGTAGCTATACATTTTGTTTACAACAGACTGACAAAAAACATTCAGCTAGAATAATTACAGAAAAGTTCGTTACTACAGTTGATCAGTTCCTTATAAAGTTCTCCTTATAATTAGAAGATACTGAAGAAAAGTAACCACTGGCGCTTCCCTATTCTTCACATTTGATCTATTTTTGTCTCAAAGACATATCTAAATTAAATTTATCTTCAACAGCAGGAAACTTCCTAATATTTTTTAAACAAGTTTTAAGACAAAAGTAAAGATGTTACAAATGCATGTAACTTTGATATTTCTAATCACAGAACAATTTAGTAACTAGTGAACCATGAACAGCCCTGTTTTCATGGGACAAACCTTGCAGATGCAGTGGGGACACTAAGTTTTGATAAACTGCATCAGCTTTAAAAATGCACTTAATCTGAGACTATTAAAAACTGAAAAATTACCACAAGAAGTAAAATCAGCCTTGTTAATTGTAAATAAGTAAACTGGATGAGGAAAAACTCTTATGTAGGTTCAGTTACTTTTTTTTTTTTTTAGGGAAGTTTTTAGGGAACTTCAAAAAGGTTAAGATAGGGCCTGTAATTCTTCCAAACAAACAGGCTGAATCTCTTAACTAATATTAAATATACATATTTTGATCACACAGGGAAAAAAAAATCCCTACAGAAAATGTGATGTATCACTGTATCAGAACTGGTAATCTAGATTCTAAAATTCATTTACATTTTATAAGCCAATACAACTATTTGATTCAAAAGTAGAATGGCAAGAGAAAAAGATTAATTTCATTAGCTAATTTCATTAGCTGAAAGTCATCCTCAGCTGATGTAACTAGTCTGCTGTTTGCAAGGTAATTTCTCCTTTTCAAGCTAGCATAATAAAATACCACTTATTTCCACTGAAAATACTGTTTAACTGTTGAAACCTCTCCATTCAAAAGAAACTGACTAAAGGATGTTGAGGTCGAGAGAAGACATCCCCTAAAATATAGTTAACACAGAAACCTCTACCTTATCTTTTCCCTCTAAAAGTAAAATTGCATTACTCCCATTTTGGATTTTAACATCCCAACGGAGCTCAGGACAAAATGCATTTACATGCTACTAATCTGTTTTCTGAAAAGGTGTGAGTCTACAGAGTAGGGAAGTTGTTTATCCCTACAAGTAGTCATAACCCAGGTAGCAAGGTTTAATATGCTTAACAGTGCTCCTCGCTTATGAACATACTTAAGGACATGCAAAATAGAGGATAGTTTTGCACAGTATGTATTTTTAACTATGTGTGTACTTACAAAAGTCTTACGTGCAAAGGGCACTAAAAAAAAAAAAAAAAGAATCTTCGATTACATTCCAATTCCTTTCATACACTGCATGTCACTTTAACGCTCCTTAAGGGTGTACCACAAAGTCAATAGCAATGCCTGAAAATAAGCTCTGTACAAGTTCCACGGCGAATCACCTCAAACATCACTCTCCGAGACTTTAATTAACCAAACTTAAAACCACTATATTCAGAGTGTGTCTGTAAACAACTTTATAAAAAGCAAAATAAAAGCCAAAAATAAAATAGCAGAGCACTGGCAGCTCAATTTGACTCTAACCCGCTAACCCAGCACAACTGCACTCTAGCAACCTGCTTCTACAGAACAGGAAAGCGAACTTACTCACTTGTTCCTGCAAACCCGACCCGGTGCCCGCCAGGGAAGCGCTCCTTCGGG